TGCCTATATACACAGTTCCTTTTGAAATTTTTGAGGTTGTTGAGAAAAGTTTTTTTGAGAGGAGTGGAAATTTTGGCTGTGAGGGGAATTGGCAAGGGAGTTTCTGGGAGAGCATTTCTTTGAGGTAGTTTCTTGTGTTGCTATGCTTTACGTTTGCATTGAGGAGGTACTTCTTCTTCCCTTTCTTTCCTATGCCCTGGTTTCCTGGGGATTTCTCCCTGTCGAGCCTCCTCTTGCTCGGTTAAATGGAGGATACAGCATGCTAGTTTACTTTTTATTTGGATATATTTTCTTAAGATATTCACTTCAAGTGCATTTGGAAATGAAAATGTGAGCATGTGTTAAAACTAGACTTTGTTACTTACTTAAACTAGGGAGACTATGGCATCCTTATGATTATTGTGACATGTTTATGTTGGAAGCATTTAGGGAGTTAAGGCATGACTTTGAAGTGATTTTTGCTCCTCTTGCAAGCATGTTGGGATTTCGGCTTTAGCATCTTATGACTGGTTCTTGCTTAAGATGAATGCTAGGGAGTTCGCTTTACTTCTTATACATATGTGGGGGCTCGGCTTTGGTTTTCTGTGGCTTCCCCTGGCTTGAAATATATGTTATGCTGGGGGCTCGGTTTTGGTTTCCTGTGGCTTTCCCTGGCTTGAATATATGCTATGAGAAAACTTATTTAATTTGAAAAGTGTTACAACTTGTTCTGAAGGCTGGGTTTAGCTCCTTGTGAAGTGCCTCCTCTGTTCATATATTTGTTGAATAATTTCATGCTTAGAATGTTTAGACATGCAGGTTGTTCCTCGGGCTTAAAATGGCTAGATCTTTAATGTTGTATGGCTCAATTATATCAATGTTTGGGCTTGATTTAATTTTGTTGAGTTCTGATTTTGGCTTTTGAGTTTTCGTTGAGCTCGATTTTGGCTTCTTATTTTTCGTCGAACTCGGATTTAGTTCCTGGTTCTTGTTGAGCTTGGTTTTGGCTTGATTTGAAGTCACGGTTTTGGGTTTGAAATGGTTGGATGTTTAATGCTTTATGGGAATTTGGATTTTAATGTTGCTAGGCTCGATTTTGGGCTTTAAATGG